GAAGTCTAAAGGTAGAACAAGAAACAAGATGAATAGTTAAAAAAGAGAATTAGAACATGAACATTTTTGTAATTTTATCTCATAGTAATATTAATTTAATGAAATTGGACTTAAATGTATATATCTAGAAGTCTAAGCACTAAAATGACATATTTGAAAGTTTAGATTCTAAAGTGAGACTAACTCCAAAGTATAGGGTATTTATCTACAATTTACCCTTAAATTAATACAAAATTAGCCACTCGAGCCCAAAAATAATGCTTGAGTTAGACTTATATCGGTTACTTCTGCTTTATTTTGTTTAACAAAGTGGTTGTATGCTCACACTGTCACGGAGGTCCCAAATGGTATATATAAAAAAGGGTGAATTGTAGATTAATACCTTATACATTGGGGGTAGTCTCACTTTAGCATTTAAACTTTAAAACATGCAACTTCAATACTTAAACTCCCAAAAACTATCACTTTAGTCCAAAATCGTTAATGGACATTATAGTGATAGTAAAGTTACCAAAGTACTCTTTATTGTCATGAACAGTCAAATAAGTTAATAGAACCAACGGAATTCCTCTCTTTTGTGTTACTGAGTTGTTCCTGAAAGTACTTATATTAAACATATTAAAATCCATGGGGCAGATAATGGCTGTAACTAGGAGCAACATCTACAAAAAGGGGATGGAGTCACTCTCCCGTGGGGGTGCCATCATCTGTTAATGCTTCGGCCTTCCTTTAGTTGAATTCACAGGAGTTAATCATGTATAAGGGTGTCAATGGACCAGTTTGGTCCAGTCTAAAATCAATTTGGATGGATTGGACGGACCAAAAAGACAATGGATTGGACTAATTCAGTTCAAAATATTTATTAGATTGAATGGGACTTGATCTGTCCGTAATAAATTTATATTGGATATGGTTGAATTAATCCAATAACCAGTCCATTGATATAAGATAAGAATATAGGTGTCAATGGAACGGATTTGGGTTGAAACCAATCTAAATTAAAATGAATTTAAACAAATTGAATGATCCAAATATTGAATTGGATTGGTCCAAAATGATCCAAATTATTCGTTGGATTGGATTGGACCTGGTCTATTTGTAATGGACTCACATTGGACTGGATTGGATTGAACCAAATCCAGTTCAATCGACACCCCTAATCATGTAGCAGAGGAGCTAGATCCTGTCAAAAAAGGAGCTTCAACTGCAATTTACTTGAGTTTCAAACTCCAACCAACGCCATCACAAATTGTTATCACTAGTATTACTAGTGATGGTTGACAGTTTCAAATCTTTTTGGGTTTGGCTCCAATTGTAGGTTCCGGAGGAATTCATGCTACATCAGATTTTCAAATAGCGTACCAGGTCTTGTTAGGGTGGTGCTAGACACAATTTATATAGGAGTTGTTGATGCTAAGTGATGAGGGATAATTTGGCCCGACCTAATAAGCAGAGGACATGTGGACACAACATGATGACTAGACGCATGATTCAGCATCTTCGGCCACCTCGGGTATCCCAGTCACCTCGGATAGCACCGAAGCCCAGGTATCTCAAATGACCAAGCCTGTCGAAGCAACACGTAGCAGATCTCTAGAAGCTTCCCACCTACCTCCAAGCCTTTCGGGATCACGCCGCGCAACCATAGGCCTTATCCCCATCCCACCCGAATCGGATGGACACAATAGGCCATATTGGCTAGCACGTTATCCACATACTGAAGCGGAACGGACTCCTACGGCTCAGGCTGAAGATCTCGGGAGTGTTTCGTGAGAGTCACGACAGCCTAGCTATATAAGGGCATTAGCCCCTGAGACCCAGGTACACGTGATAATGCATTCTAGCTCTCAAGCTCACTTATTTATATCCAATACTAACTTAAGCATCGGAGTGACCTCGTCAGGTTATCCACCCCGCGTTCTTTGATCCATTTGTCTTATAGTTCGACCAGTCTACTTCATAACCGACATCCAAACTACCTTCCAACTAGGAGCATCCAGATCGTGCACCATCACTAAGGTTTAAACTATCAATATGTATTGACTCGTATTAACTAATATGTATCATATCGATGGTTTCTCGATACGCCCCTCCAGGGGTTGTATCGGGTCAGATCATGATTTAAAGGGTAACCGATACTTAAACTGACTCCTCTGAACCAATTTAAAAAAAATAAAACTTAAAAAAAAAAAGCATCGATACCGGCCTGTATCAATACTTTGAACCTTGATTGTCGCATAGGACAAAGTTGAGAATGGATATAGAGTACACCGTCTTCCTTAGTTGAGAATGGAAATAGCTGGTCCAACATACAACAATCCTGCTGATGTGATGGTACTGTGACTCTGCTCGCCATTGCTAAGATGTTGAACAGTGTCGGATAATTTTAAAATTTTGAAATAGTGGTGAATAAATTATTGAATAGTGGCAGGAAGATCAATTTGATTGAATAATATCGCATAATTGGGCCACAGAATCTTTTAAATAGGGCCCCCCAAATACACTTTGTGGTTTATAGCACACACCACCCACTCATGACAATAATTTTGTTATTGAGATCGTATCATGTGAGGTGTCTAAGTGTTAGGCCCCATTTACATTTACATTGCCACCTGGCTTAGTTGTTGGTACATTAACTGGTTTGTTCGAGCAGAGACGCGAATTCAATTCTCGCAACCACTGAGTTAGGGGAGGGGGTTCAGTGTGGTGCTGCACTATCAAACGGCCCTTATGAGTCTAGATCTCTTCCTCACATAACACTTTTCACACCAACTTTACAATATGTTTTGCCTATACATTGGGAACATCTCCTATATTTGTATTTATTATTCATGGGGAGATGTTATCAATACACAATGAGATGTGGCTGTGAGGTTGGTGTGAGGAGCGTTCACTCCTCAGCGAGGATAAGATCCCAATTCCCTTAGGTTGCTTTTATTTTCGGAATAAACTTCATCGATGTAAAAGTATATCGTTGGAGTTCAATGTCAGCGAGTTTAAAATTAGTGAACCTTGGAACTTTTTTAAGGCTCAGTTTGGTAGGAGTACAAATACAAATATGTATTGTGCAAATATATACAAAATAATACAAAATACAAGGTTTTGCACTTTACAAATTTGCATTTGTACTCCTCTCAAACTGAGCCTAAAGTGTGATAATCGATGTAGAGTTGACATCGATTTTTCAAAGTGTGATTTGGATATAAAACTCAACCAATGGGGATTTACATCGATTTTTTATATAAACCTTACATCAATAACAAACACAAAAATATATACCAAGAGTAGAGTTTTATACCGGTCATTATTTACAATAAAAACAAACAAAGACAAATAAGAACTGACAATGGAATTTTACGTTAATTCGTATTTATAACACAAACAAGCGCTGCCTTATGAGGGATTCCGGCGTATCATGAAAATAAAATAAGAAAAAAGGGATAAATTTCTTAAACTACCCTTATGGTTTAGCTAATTGACTAAGTGCATCCTAACTATTTGAAAATTGACTAACACTACCCTACTGTTTCTGACAATTGACTAACTCCACCCTTACCATTAAGGTCCATTAATATTCCATCAAAAATCATTCCCACATGATATATATATTTTTAATCCCCCCCCCCTCTCTCCCCCTCCCCTTCCTTTTCACCCATACAAGGATTCTCAGAGGAGACGATGGCTTTGCTATGCAGGCAGCGAGAGATGGGGTCCGTTGCAATAGCATGAAGTTCACTGCCAAATCATGACTTTGAACAGATGATTGGAGGAGTTTACTGCCAAATCATTTGGCACCACCGAGATGAGGATTCAAGTCTCTTTGAATTTGTACTTATTGGAGGAGTTCCTGGAGAAGGGAAGTGAAGAGGGTAGAACGAAGAGGGGAAGGAGGGGGGAGCAGAGGAAGAACATCACCGCCGCTGTTGGAAGTTGTAGGAGTGGCAGCAATTTTGGTAGATCCAAACATAGAGCTTAAGGGGAGAAGAAAGAAGAAGATCACCGCCACTGCCAGAAGTTGTAGTGGTGGTGGCGATTTTGGCGCCAAAAAACAGAGGGTAAAGAGAGAGGTTTGAATGAAGGGAAAAGTTGTAGTGGCAGAAGTTGTTATTCAAACTGAACTTATTTCTCAGTCTCTCTCCCTCTCTCTCTCTCTACTTTGTTATTCGAGAGTGCTTCCAAAGGAAAACCCAATTTTTCTCTCTCCCACCAGCTTTTTCCCTCCGAGGGTGGAATCTAATCGTAGATTTGGGACGATTTCTTTGTGAGTGCAATGAAGCTCATTTTTTTAATAAAGTTTGAAGAAAAAAGAAAAGAGAAAGGAAGAAAAGATTGGGCAAATCTGAAACTTACACCCAGTTAACAATTCTACACTGGGTCAAATAAAATTCACCATCATGAAGATTTGTTCCTCAAAAGGGTCTGAATTTATCGGTTGGGTTGAATGGCGATGGCTTCGCTCGACAACCCCTTTGCACCCAGTTAACAATTCTGCGCTGGGTCAACCATATTTGTCAAGCTCCCAATGTGGTTAGGGTTTAGTCTTTTTTATCTTTCAATTAACGCACGCTAACAATAATCATTTGTCAGAAACAGTAAGAATAGCCTTATTCAATTTTTAAACACTAAAGGTACAATCTACATCTACATTCTACCCTTTGGACGTGTGGTCAGTTCCTAGCGAGAATCCTACACCCACCAGACCTATTGGAGTTTGGCGGGCATTACGCAACAACTTGATGATTCAGTTTGTTGCAGTTGGGACACGCATCCACCAATCAAGTCCAATCAAGGGCCCACTGCTACATCACAGGCGGTGAATCCAATGGTATCAGAAGATTCTTTGTTAAGGAAGATCATCAAGAAGACATTTGCAGCTGAGAGAGAGAAAAATAGCCGTTCAAATTTTGATTTTCCTCCTCCAAAGTCCAACCCACTAACCACACAAATAAAAAGCAATTAACAAGAAACACCAACCAAACAACCACAATACCCGCAAAGCAAAAACAGGAACTGGTCTGAGTAAAGAGTAGAAGTTCTGGTAAAAAGAATCACAGGCCGATCTTCAAAAGTTGAAAGTGAAGAACACTCTGCACTAAAATATGTTGAAAAACAGCAAACAAGAAAGTAGAAACTCCATTAATTACTGCCACACAGAGAAAGAGAACGAATTCTTTAACTTGGTTTTAGCTTTCAACAAACAAGAAAGGAAAGAAAGATCAAAAGATCATCTGTTGAGTATACAGAAAGCAAAATTATAACCTCCCCCGGTTGATGTTCTCATGGAACCCAATTTCAAAATGAATGATGAAACCAGGGAATACGCTAAAAAAATCAAAGAGAACAGAAGAGGAAGAAATCTGACGAAGACATTGTCATCCATCGCTTCTCACCATCACTCTTTGCAGCGTTGCCATTGAAGTTGCTCGTGAAGACGAGTCGGAGCCCGAACCCATCATCATAATCTTGAACTCTTCAAAATTTATCAACCCATCTCCATCACAATCCACCCCACGAATCATCTTCTTACACTCCGCAATCGAACATCTGTCATCCCCCAAACTCTTCAACACCGTTTGCAATTCCTCCGGTGATATGGACCCATTACGATCGATATCAAACACCATGAACGCGTTCTTCAGATCCTCTATTACCTTCAAAGAATCAACCCCTTTCGTGTTCAACTCAATAAACTCGTTCAAATCAATAAACCCATCGCCGTCCGAATCCACCTCCTCCACCATCTTCTGTAATTCCTCTTCCGTCGCAGGGTGTCCCAAGCTCCCCATGATTGAACCTAGTTCGGACCAAGAAATCTTCCCATCCCCATTCACATCAAATCTCTTAAAAACATGCTCCAGTTCCTCGATCTGGCTTTTCGAATTCACCAACGAGTTCACGGACGACGATCTCGAAACAGCCGAGTTCCCTCGAGGGGAGTTCGGCACCGACTTGCTCTTCCTTTTCCAAGCGAAAAAAGATCGAATACCCATGACTCCTTTCTGGGTTTCAAGCCTCAAAAACAGCAAACCTTCAAGAGACACTCAAGATCCTGAGATCCCAAAGCAATAAAAAGCTGGGGAGCGAATTAGCGATGAAGAAGAAGAAACAGAAGTTTTAAGGTGATTAAAACCACAACCCTTGAGGGTATTGCGTACAATCTGTATTCCCGTGAAAAGTGGAGCTCCAAAATCAAAATTGTGTAATTGGAGACTATTTTTACCAGAGATTTTTCTCTATGCGAGAGAGAGAGAGAGAGGATTCTATATTTCTATTGATAAACGACGAGATTAACGGTCTCATAATCTTCAATTTATACTCGTCGTAATTAAATATTAATTGATTTTGGGAAACTGCTTGGAAGGTTCGAACCAGTACCATCACTTCCTTCTATAATAATGCAACCACGTTCTGGAATATACTAGAGTCTTCCATCGATGTCGTAAATGCACTGTACTGACTGTTGGATTGGAATCTGATTTGATATTTTACTAAATTGACAGAATGAACGACAGATAGTGTAAGGAGAACCGGTATTCAGTGGTTCTGGTTGAGTACTTGAGTTGGATCAATGTGTGGAGTCTAGAAATGGGAAGGCGTGATACCCTGATTTTTTGCAGCGCGACAGATATTCCATTTTTGAGAATATTTTAATTTCCTGAGTAAATTAAAATGGGAAGGAGTGAGAAAAGGTGGGAAAAGGGATCCAGCTTTTGGGAGTGCCGGAGCCAAGTGGAGAAACGAAAAGGAGGTGCCTGGAATGGATCACGAGGTTCTTTATTAAGTTATAATCACGACATCATTAGCCATTGATTTTGATATCGACGGCGAAGAATCTGATTCAAGAGAATTTTCTGATTGTAGGTGTGCCATCGCCGTTGATCGCGTGTCCTTTTTTCCCGTGATAAAAGCATTTTATATCGGACGCTGCTGCATACCTTTTCCCGTGCTCTGAAGGTGAAAGGTTCACGCGTGTTGTGCTTTATACTGCTTTACCCGTGATACTAGACGCTGTGGATTTGACACGTGTCAATGTCAATGGCGGGAAAACAGTTTATTAGAAGGAAAGGAAACTCGTGTAGCGGCTTCAATATGGGCATTACCGTCAATGCGCATGTGAAAAGGACAATGCATTAAGGACAATTTGGTCATTGTAATCTCCTAGTTTTTAACGTTGCTTTGCTTCTAGAGGGAGTGAAGAGCCATTGGCCACGTCATCTATGTTACTTCTCTCCAACCGGGCTATTCTATGGGAGACGTGGCATATTTTCTGCCAATGTGATGGTCCTATGCTACTTCTAAGGAAGGATCAGAAGTGAACCATGTTTAGAGAGCAGTAAATGGATCGGTTCTACTGATAGAAGTAGACCCGAACCGACCAAAGCCATACAGAGTCTCTATAGGATGGACCGATCTTAAAGATCATATGGGCCAAAAATTATCTGATTTTATTGCATTTAATTAGATGGTCGAGAAACAGATTGTTTGGTTTTTTTAACTCATATAAGTAGACTATTTTGGAATATCCATTGTTTTAATTGGAATCAATTAAATGGTGGGTCCCGATTCTTGATACAAAAAAATCTTATAGATTTAGCAAATTTTATTTTCTTTTAATATTTGATCATTGACTTTGGACCTTTGGATTTGTGGGTTATTCATGTTTTGGGCTTAATGGGCCTAGACGATTGTAGTAGCCTCGTTAAGAGCTTCACCATCATTATCATCATCCGTCATTCGGTCATTGGTATGGTAGGAAGTCAATGTACATGTATCAAGGGGTTATCAAACAGTCCAATCAAGATGACTAAGGGTTGTTTGGCAACTAAAATAAAAAATCAAGGGCCTTAGAGTTTAGAGAAAATTGGGTGAATAGAAGTTTAGGTGTTATAAAAAGTAGTTAGTTTTTTTTTTTTTTTATAATTTTATTTTTTCGAAGCCTTAGTTGAATCTTGCTATTTTTTCATGTCCACATGGAAATTGTCAAATTAAGACCTTCCCATCAATCTTTGTTGCTTCTTCAATTATTGGAGTATAGTATGTCAAAAATGGGTTTAGCAAGTTAAGGCTTGAGAAAAATACACTAGGTTATGTTTGGTTTGAATGAAAATGTGAAACAAATAAAAAGTTGATAGAAAATTCGTTAAAAATTTATAAAAATCCTTAGGCTGTGTTTGGTTGCAATGCAAATAAATTTGCATTGATAAAAAACCATGCACTGTAAATTTTGACCCATTTATGTTTTAAATTTTAGCTTATTTTGTTTGATTGCAGTACAATGAAGTAAATTAAGACATGAAAGCATAACAAAGTAAAGCCCAAAACCAAATTAAATGAGAATTTGCATTTTTTTTTTCATTTGCACTAGTGTAAATAAAACTGCACTTCAACCAAACGCAGCCTTAGGAATTTTCCCTCAATGTTCTGCTTCTCTTTTATTTTCTTTCAAATCAAACCAAATACAGCACCGCAAAGGAAGCAAAAAACAAAAAACATTGACACATAATCAAACAAAACATGGTGATAAATTGACACACCACAGTTGACATCTACAATGTGGTTGAAATTTTGGTAGTAAGAACATCTTGTGAAATGTGAAAATACACATTTAAGCAGATCATGTAAAATCTTTAGTGTAATTAGTTGAAACCTTGACTTAACATGTCACAAAATATTTGTTAATACACTAAAGTTGGATTCATCAAACAAAAAAGTGCATAATAATTTTAAATGAGAGAAAAACCAAAGTTTTACTTAATATCCAACGAAATTGATCATGTTTTTAAATGTTATTTAACACTTTTTTAAATATTATTAGCATGCTTTTTTTTAAGTTTGTTAACTTCAAATTGACTTTATTTTCCTTTTTCAATGAGCTGTTTATAAAAGCTTAAGGTATTAGATGAGTTCAATGTATAGTTGTTTATCTTCTAACACGCTGCCACTCACATATAAGCCACTCAGTCTTAAAAGTATAAGCCCATTTATACCTTGTGTTAAAATTGAATTAATTATATATATTGAGGCGACAGGACACTTGGTTAAATAGGTAGGCCCAACCATACCTTGAGCTGAAATTTAATTAATTATAATGGGAATCATGAAGAGAACACTATATCACTTAACCAAACATGCTTTAATAACATTGCAAGAAAGAGTTCAGATCTGCGCCTCACAAGGAGGCGCCCCACAATGTCTTATAGAACATTTCCGTCATGTATTGAGAACATCTCCCGATGATAGTACCATAACCGATGATGTCATCATCAGGAGATGTTCCCAATACATGGCGGGGATGTGTTGTGGGACATTGTGGGGCGCCTCCATGTGGGGCACAGATCTGAACTCTGCAAGGAAACGTTCAACCTAAAAACTTACTGTAAGGTAAGGTCCTTGGATAAGCTTTTATTCTCTAACAGCTATAATTTTTTAATATTTATTTACTATTTTTATAACTATCTTTATAACTTCAACAGAAAAACATTATTTTTTAAGTAACTTAAGTCAGGATGTCATAATCCTTAGGTACACCAAACAATTGGTCTAATTTACAGTTTGTGAATTCACACACATGCACACACACACACACGTGCATGCCATGCACACAACACCCCTCCCTCAGGGACCAGATCTAGTAGGCACAATATAGTAAATATGTTTGATAAACACTTAATAAATATTCTAACAACTGTTAAAAGTTGTTTTTAGTCCTTTTCAAGGGTAGGCTGGTGCTCATTGAATGTACTTACAATGGTGTGCCTGATCCGGATCTGGACTGTCCCCCTCTCCTACCTCCCCACCCCCCAAAAAAATAAGAAAAAAGAAAATCCCAAAAGAAAGGGAGCCAATGAATTTGACCTTAGAGTGGGCCCCACCACCTGGATCCCACATATTGCAAAGTAAGATCTGTCAAGGTTTGCATGTCGCGTTCTCAGGTAGGGCAACAAAGACATGAAGACAAGGCGAGGCTGTGATCTGCCTAGTCAAAACTGGCGTAATATTGGCCGGGCCTACAACCGGCCGAGCGGTGAGGCCCTAATTTGTGTACCGTCCACGTCCACAAAAATCCACATCCACGGCCATCGTGATTCGTGGCCCATGTTAGGCAGTAAGTACTGCTACTACACCCAAAATGCAGTTGGCACCATACACATACAGCTACAGCTAGCTGTGAGTTCGGCCGGGGGCTTCCTTGTGTCACCCGAGATGCGACTAGGCTACCTCAACCAGCGGCCAAGCTTTGTGGAGCCAATGTGGCTTGTTGCATACTTGCATGTGATTAAGATTTTGCTGTTGGCCCAGGAGGCATGGCCGCATGGCTACTTGATTTGATTTAATCCAAAGCTTTAATAAAATGCCGATATCTTAGGGGGTGTTTGTCAATATCTATGATTTTGTCTTTTTCTTCAAAGAATTAAGGGACTAGAAGAGTACGGGATAGACCAAAAAAGATATGGGTATAGAAATAGTAAAAAATGATTTAAGTAGTAATGATAACTTAACAATGGATGTGATTTTAAATGGATTAGATTGACCAAACCGAATTCATGTAGCCAATCCCATATAATTGGGATAAGGTAAAGATGATGATGAAGTTCAAGAGGATGTTATATGAATTGTTTTTGTCATGAATTTAGAAACAAAATATACTCAGCTGATTTGAAAACAAGTTGGTTCTTAAATTTATGATTTGTATATGCGTTTTCAAAGCTGAAACCAAAAACAAATTCTTGAATTAAGGCTCCGTTCATTTTTCGGTAAATTATTTACCTAGGTAAATGCAATTATCTAGATAAGTTTTTCCTAGGAAACACTTATCCGGATAAGTGAATTTATCCATGTTCTTTTATTTCCTAAGTAAATAAGGTAATAACCATTTTATCCATAAAATTCATTATTAAAATGGGCATTTTTGTCCCATTCAAGTGTTAGCAACTTTCCCCATAGGTGGAAAAGTTATTTATCCATCTAGGAGATGAGTATCACATACCCAGGTAAATGATACCTAGGAAAAGGAACTTTCCCTGGTCCCCACATAAATATGAAAATGAATATGGGATTCTTGATCAACGGGAACCAAAATCCCATTGACCAAAAGCCCCTAAAGAGCATGTTTTCATCTGGTTATTTAGTTTCATGTTTCATGAACCATATAATTTCCATGCTACAAAATTTGTTTTCGTGTTAAAAATCACTATTTTGATAGTTTCAAAAACATGTTATGTTTTTAACTTTTTATATAAAAAAAGCTAGCTTTTTCCTTCCAAGACAACAAAATTCAAGAATG